TGTACTTTTAGAGCGCCCTTTGCATGGCCTTTTAAAAATTTTTTTATAAAAACTTTGAGAGTTTCATACATTCATACAAGGCGTTTTGATCAAATCCATTCCCACTCCCTCCCCTCCAACAGTCCCCCTCTGAAGACGTAACCCTAAAATCCTTTAAGGATTAGATACAAGCTACAAATACTTTTGATATTTTTGGCTTTTGGAAGAGAGTATGTTGCTAACAGGCCCAAGGACATTTTGACTTTTAGCCCCTAGGGAACAGTGGGATTTAAAGACTAAATACAGCAGAGAGGGGAAGAGAAGGGGGTAAGGCAGATATGGTCAAGTACATGATACAGTATATCTCATTTTGAAACCCACACTATGTACAATGAATATTTATCAGTTAAATATAATAAAGAATCCATACAGGGTTGGGAGATAGGCCAGTGGTAGAGCACTTTCTAGCATGCATAAAGCCTTTGGTATGACCTCAAAAAAAGGAGGAAGAAAAGGGAAAGAGAAAAATACCCGGAGTAAGTAGATCATAATAGCCTATGAGATGGGGGTAGAAGCTAGCAGAGTGCTAAGGCTGTTGTCAAAGAGCTTTGGGAAGACAGGTCATGTCTGTTGTATAGGGGACTTTGGTAAAAAGGGGGAAAAAGGCTAAAAAGAGGATGATGCCGAATTTATCAACAAAGAAATCATTCATTGGGTGATGAATGCTAGAGCTCAGCTACCTTTCTCCTTTTCACATGCAGTCTAGAACCGAAGCGCAACGAATGGTACCCACATTTAGGGTGGCTCTCCCTATCTCAATTAAACTAAGAGAATTCCTCATAGGTAGGTCCAGAGGCTTGTCTCCTAGGTAATTCTAGAGCCTGCCAAATTGACAACATTAACCATCACAGGTGACCTTGAAAAGAATTGCAGCCACAGAAGCAGAGGCCAGACTATTAGACATGATGGAAAGATCTGGAGGAATGAAAGGGAAAAAAGAAATGAAGACAGTGGGTATGATCATCAGGGGTGTCTGTCTCCTATTCAGTGAGTTGTGGGGATACAACTCACAACAAGGTTATTATCATCACCTCATCACCATAGTCAGTCTTCTTCAAGAAGTGTGGGTATGAAGGGAAGATCCACAGTGTGATAAGAGAGGATGCTGAAGAATGATTCTCTCTGCTCCCTCTGTAACAGACCTATCTGCTGAGAAGAAATGTAGTGAGCCAGAGATGCAATCTAGATGATAGAGTGCTTGCCTAGCATGCATGAAGCCCTGCGTTCAAGCTCCAGCATCAAATAAACTGGGTATGGGGAGGCATGTGACAATCCCAGTACTTGAGAGGCAGAGGCTGGATCAGAAGTTTAAGGCTATTCTTGGTTACACAGAAAGCTTGATCAAGACCAGCCTACATTAAGAACCTGCCTAAGGCCAGGTGCGGTGGGGCACGCCTTTAGTTCCAATACTTGGGAGGCAGAGGCAGGTGGATCTCTGTGAGTTTAAGGCCAGCCTGGTCTACATAGTGAGTTCCAGGCCAGCTGGTGCTACAGGGAGACCCTGCCTCAAAAAAACCCAAAAAAACAAAAAACAAAAAAACAAAAAAAGAGCCTACCTAAAAGGAAAAAAAAAATATAGAAAAGAGGCTGATGGTATGATGTAGGAAGAAAGGTGAAGTCTTGTCACTTGAAGGACTACCTTCAGACAAAAGGAAGGACATTCATCTAGTAAAAGCAAAGAGAAGGAAATGGGCCTGTAGGAGTATCTAGACAGGATCACCACAGGAAGCTGAGTATTAACCTAACGGTTACTCTGCTTGCAGTAAGGCAGCTGTAAGGAAAAGCCTCAGATCTTCAGAGGCCAACAGGCAAGTAGACACAAATTGTGGCTCCAGAACAGCTGCCATTTATTGGCTCATGCTACGTCTAGGAACTCTGCTGGTGGTTCTAGTACACCCTCACAACCCTATGAGGTAGATGCTACTGTTGTTGCTACTACCATACAATTTAGTTGTTCACATGAGAAAACAGAGGCTTAAAGAAGTTAAAAGAGCATGCCTGACATCACAAAACTAGAAAATGGTGGAAGGATTAGAACTCAAGACAATTACTTGATAAAGTTTTAGTTATACTGTATGGCCTACTTGTCTACTGCCTTTCTCTAATGCCATTAGGTTCTCTAATTCTTGGAGAAGCTTAGAAAACGTCCTTCCTAAAGTGTCAAAAAGAGAGATAAGGGTAGATAATCATAAACTGATTCACCATCTCATTAGACTAGTAGTGTTTAAAAAAAAAACTTTGGCTGCCTTTGGGAGGCTGTCGAGATGGCTCAGCAGGTAAAGGAACCTGCCACCAAGTCTGACAACTTGCGTGTGATCACCACATATGATGGAAGGAGAGAACTCTGCAAGCTATTCTCTGACCTCCACATGTACCATGGCACAAGTGTGCATGTATTCCCACATAAATAAATATATAAATAAATGTATTAAAAATAAACAAATGTCTAGTCAGGGAATGAAAGGTACTCTGTATTTTCCACAGTTCCCTCCACACCTCAGTACTTCATACTTCAAATTTACTGCTTGATCTTGATGCATTTATATGAGCTACAATGTAAGCTTTGATTTAGGAAGTCATTTGAGGATGGGAGAGAAACTAAGTTTCAAGTTACTACCTTACTTTTTGACATTAAGTTGCCAACTACCACAATCACAGAAGTTTAAAAAGATTAGCATCTGGGACTGGAAAGATGGCTTGGTGGTTAAGAGCACTGGCTGCTCTTGCAGAGGACTCAGGTTTGGTTCCCAGCACCCACATGGTGGCTCACAATCATATGTAACTCGAGCTCCAGAGGACCAAATGCTCTCTTCTGGCCTATGAGGGCACCAGGCACGTGTGTGATGCATATACATATGTGCAGGCACTCATATGTACACATAAAATAAATCTTAAAAAAAAAAAAAATCAGCTTCTGGGGCTGGAGAGATGGCTCAGTTAGGCTCTTGCAGTGGACCCGGGTTTGATTCTCAGCACTCACATGGCGGCTAACAACCATATGTAACTCCAGTTCCAGGGGATTTGATGCCTTCTTCTGATCTTGGTGGGCACTGCATGACATGGGTGCACTTACATACATGTAGGCAATACAATCATACATATAAAATGAAAATAAATATTTTTTAAGAAATCAGCTTCTGATACATTCTGTGTGTATATGTGTGAGGGAAATATAACATAAACATCAAACATACCTTGATATCATTGTCTATTCCACCAGAGATAATCTGATCACTTGTGTCATTGAAGGTCACAGCTAACACCTGGTATGTGTTCTGAAATGTCTGGATGGCTGCTTTCTTCCGGATGTCCCAAAGCTGAAGCAAGAACAGGTAACATCATTAGCATCACTCTAAGAAGTACACCCCTAAGTTCAAGTACTTTGTGGCTATGAACACATTTCTAATAGGGATTCCACTCTGAAAAGTACCCTGGATATCCTACTAACATGCAGTGAGAAAAGACTACAATTTTGCCAATTTATTTGAAAGTGAAACAAATCATTTTGGTAATATTTTCAGTCTCCTTCCTCCCTCTCCATCTCCTTTTCATAATAGGTCTTACTGTTTGTTGCACAGGGCCCCAAACTCCTAGTTCCTATTGGGTCAGATTTCTGAATGGCTGGGACTACAAATACATGCCATAGCTTGGCTCAGATTCCTTTGTTAAAGTAAATAAATGATGTATACGTATATTGTCATCTATGGAAGAGGCTGAGCCAAACCAACTGCTTAAGGCCAGAAGTTTGAGTTGAATCTTCCTAGACCACACAGCAGACTGTCCTCCCTTGTCTTCTCCAAAAAGCCCTGTACTGGGTCAAGATAGCTCTAAGTAGGAGAGGGAAAAACAGCAAGAAGCTAAAGGTATTAAAACATTGTGCCCTTGAGGACAGATAGAAGGTAAACTATTTCCAACAAAGGTTACAATTGCTTATCCTATGGTATAAAAATGCCTGCAGTGGAAAAGAGAAGCCAGACGCTCATGGAGAAAATCAGCTCAGCTGGGAACTTCAGTTCACTGCTTCAACTTCCCCCACCTTTTTTTTTTGAGACATGCTCTCACCATTCACCATGTAGCCTTGGCTGCCCTGGAACTCTCTATGTAGACCAGGCTGGCCTCAAACTCAGAGATCAGTCTGCCTCTGCCTGGGATTAAAGGCATGTACCAGCAAACACTATCACATCTAGCACACCAGTCAATTTCTGCTGAATGTCTGTAAGCCTCTGGTTTGATGCCACCTTTGCTTGCTTCCTAAATCAGGCTACTCCAGCCATCTTGGTCGGATGTTATAAACTCTTAACTTGATGTTTACTATCTACTTGTTGCTTCTTCTCCTTGTGTGTCTTTTACTTTGGCTTGCCATAAACTTAGAGTTCACTCATTCAAAACCAAAAGAACAGCGATCGTAGATTGTTGTACAGACTGCACAGAAACCCAGATCAGCCTCAGATTGAGATCTCCCCCTGAACTGAGATTACAACTTACCTGTTTTTATTTGACATGTCTAGAACAGACAAATCAGAGATAAAAGGCAGGTTGGGAGTTGCAAGGAGTTGGAACACAGGCAGGAAGCAGGAGTGACTTCTGAATGGGTGCTGGGCTTTTTTGAATGATGAAATGTCCAATTATCATTTGTGATTGTGGCAATGGCTATACAATGCATGATCTAAAAGCCACTTTACACTTTATTTCATTCATTTTACAGTGCTAGGATCCTGTGCATGCTAGGAAAGTGCTCTAAACAGAGCTACAGCTTTAAGTTTCACTTTAAGCTTTAAGTGGTGAATTTAAATTTTATTTCAAGCATAAAAAATTTATAGGAAAAGACACCCAAGAATGCTTTGCTTTTTTCTTAAAGAACATTCAATTCTACAACCCCTCTAGAATAAGCCCAAATCTCTTGGTTAATTCAAGCCTTGATAATCAGGCTCATATAGATCTTATAAAAATTTCCTTCAATTTTTGTCTCAATAGATATTTTGCTTCCTAAATGTTGGGATTAAAGGTGTGCACCACCATGCCTGACATCAATAGACACTCTTTATACAGATTAAAATAATCTTTCTCCCTTATTTCTTTTTCTGTTTTTCTGAGGCAGGGTTTCACTATACAGCCCAGGCTAGCCTCAAACTCACCATTTTCTTGCCTCAGCCTCTTGTGTGATGGGATTATAGGCATGTGCCCCAATGCCTGGCGCCAATCTGTCTTTAACCTAAAAGGTATGGTAGCCACTTAAGAGTGATTAGAATTTTTTTTTTTTTTTTTTTTTTTTTTTTTTTTTGTCTGTTTTTGAGACAGGGTCTCCTTGTAGCCCCAGCTGTCTTGGAACTCACTATGTAGACCAGGCTGTTCTGGAACTCACAAAGATCTGCCTGCCCCTGCCTCCCAAGTGCTGGGATTAAAGGCGTGTGCCACCACGCCCGGCGATTAGAATACTTTTTAAATTTTGAAATAATCACAAACTTGTTGAAAAAGAACTTTTCTTTTCTGCTAAAATCATTTTAGGGTAAGTTGATGACTAATGATGCCTCATCAATCCTAAACACTTTATAGTGTTTGTCCTACAAAGATGTTTTCCTACTTAACCTTACTACAACCATTAAAATAAAGAAATTAGCCAGGTGTGGTGGCGCATGCCTTTAATCCCAGCACTTGGGAGGCAGGGGCAGGCGGATCTCTGTGAGTTCAAGGCCAGCCTGGTCTACATAGTGAGTTCCAGGACAGCTGGGGCTACAGGGAGACCCTGTCTCAAAAAGACCAAAAAAAAAAAAAAGAAAAGAAATTGACATTGACATGTATTAACCGTCTGATTCTATTTTTTTGGGGGGGGGTATAAGGATTCAGTTTGGAATATTTTAAATTCGTCGTGTACTTTTAGTCTCTTTCAGATTTTCCTTGAGTTTTAAGAATTTGTGAAAATTACAGGAATATTATCTCCCTACATTTGTATTTACCTGACGTTTCCTCGTAATTAAATTGAAGATTTGCATCTTTGGTAGGAATATCATAGAAATCATAATACAACTTCATTATATACATTATATACAAATGGCTCACAATTTTGTCTCATTACTAATAATACTCAATTTGATCATGTGCCTGTAAGTTTTGGTATAAGATGTTCTAAGGTCATCTTAAAGTATTTTCTCTGCCCAGGCCCAACATAAGAGCCTTGGTTCTGTTTATTGGCAAATGATTTAAAGACTAAAACATGAAGCTAGGGTGTGGCTCAGCAGTAGAACATTTACCTACCATGCATGAGGCCCTGTGTTTGACTCTCAATAAGGGACCAAGATCTGGGCAGTAGGATGGTGTTCCTAAGCCTTCTCAGTACAGTCAGGCAGTAAACATATATGGAGATACATGCCTATACATTCACACATTTACATTTTTAAAATATTTTTTTGAGACAGGGTCTGATATATTCTAGGTTGGCCTCAAACTTGCTATGTAGCTGATGATGACTTTGAACTTCTGATTCTATGTACACCTCTCAAGTGCTGGGATTCATTACAGGTATGTGCCACCACACCTGCTTTATGAAGTACTGGGAATCACCACATGGGTGCTGGGAACTGAACCTGGGTCCTCTGCAAGACCAGCCAGTGCTCTTAACCACTGAGTCATCTCTCCAACCCCAGAAGCTAACCTTTTTAAACTTCTGAGATTGTGGTAGCTGGCAACTTAAGGCCAACAAAAAGCTGAGTCATCTCACTAGCATGCCCTAGAAAACTTTCTAAATTGCATAAGGATTCAGTTTGGAACAAAATGTTTAAGTGTCAAGATGCTTTGGTGTACATTCTCAGTACAGATACTCTAAGAACTGGATGAAAAGTAATCACTTTTAGGTGGTAAGACATATTTTCCATTTAAAAACTACTGCTTTAAAGCCAGGCGTGGTGGT